AGAACCATTTGGGTGGAGGTTTAGGCTTCATAGACTATTTCCCTTTAGTCTAGACTTGAAAAGGTACATGCTATGCAAGCAACGGCTCTTCTTTCTGTACAGGGAAAGGAATTTGGAATCATTGCACTGAGGTAATAATGGGTATACAAATGTAGGTAATTTTTGTTTCTTTTTAAAAATATATTCTTATTGATTTCAGAGAAAAAGGGAGAGGGGGAAAAAGATAAAAAATATAAATGATGAGAAACAATCGCTGATTGGGTGCCTCTTGCATGCCCCCTACTAGGGATCGAGCCCACAAACCAGGCTTTGCCCTGATCAGGAATTGAACTATGACTTCTTGGTTCATAGGTTGATGCTCAACCACTGAGCTACACAGGCTGGGCAGTAATTTTTGTTTCTTGAAAATGAGAAAAATAATTACTCTTCCTAAAACTTAATGTTATTTCCGTTATTGATTCTTTTAAGAAGTTCAGTTATTTCATGTGAATTTCTAAGATAAAATTTTATTTGTTTTTGCAGAGTGCATCCCAGTGCATGGTTCTCTTATGATTTCAGGCTTGGGTATTACAGCCTTAGTGGCATTACTTGGATTAATTTACATATTTGTTGGTAAGTCAACTTTGTTTTTGTTAGTCTCTGCCAAGAATTCAAAATCCTATATAATAAGAGAGAAACTTGCAAATGAACCATCCTCCTACCACAAGAATGGCTGCACCCACAGCTGAGGCCGAGTTCCCATAATGAGCCTTAAGGAGCAATGAGCAGGGATCTGAGGCCTCATGCCCCCCACATCTCCATAGCACCACCACATTGGGGCTTGACAGGGGACCTCAGACTGCACCTTCCACCCTGGTACCAGGCCAGGGGACTTCAGGCCATGCCCCCCGCCCAGCGCCAGGCCGAGGGAACTGAGGCCATGCCCCTGCCCTGGAGGGGCTTAACAGGGGACCTAAAAGTGCAGGCCCTGCCCCCATGCTGGGCTAGGATACTTCAGGCCGTGTCCCCCATCCCAGCGCCAGGCTGGGGGACCTGATGTTGTGCCCTCCACCTGGCAGGGCTTGAAAGGGGACCTCAAGGTACACCCCTGCCCCGGTGCTGGGCCAGGGGACCTCAGGCTGCTCCCCCAGCCCCGTCACCAGGCTGGAGGAACTCAGGGTGTGCCCCCTGCCCTGGTGCCAGGCCAGGGGCCCTCAGGCCACACCCCCCCACCCAGCAGGGCTAGACAGGAGACCCTCAGGCCACAAACCCCACCCCAGCACCAGGTCGGGGGACTTCAGGCCGCTCCCCCTGCCCCGGCCAGGGCTGAGGGACCTGAGGCTGCACCCCCCTGGCCTGGTGGTGCTTGACAAGGGTGGAACCGGAAGGGTCTGGATCTAGCCCAATATGGGGGGTGCCGGCTGGGTCTGGGTCTCATGTCATTTTGAGGCACACGTGGGTGGATGGGGACTTGACTCTGGGTCCCATGGCACACCCCAGACTCTGACAGGAGGAAGATTTTCATATACATTTTACTAATTTTCTTTCATCTCTGACACTTCTATTATAGAGAAAGGGCAAATAGCAATATTAAAATATTTCCTCTAATTAATCTCCTTTTAATGTGCACAAATTTCGTGCACCAGGCCACTAGTATATTATAATTTGGAAAGACTTTTGGTTGGTTCTTACAACTTAGGATCAAGAAAATGTATTCGTAACTAATGAAATACTGAAACATTTAGAAAATAGGCTAGTTTAAAAGAAAATGGCTGTATGTTTTAGAATGTATAAACCTTTTTATGCTATGGAAAAGGAGAATTGGTTGAGGATTGATTTTAATAAATAGAAAAGAATTGTTTTTTTCATGCTTACCCTCTTGGTAAGCATGAATATATATAAACTTAAGATAATAATAATATAATTATCTTAAGTTTTACATGTCTCCTTTTTCCCCATTTGACCTCCCTTCCAACCATTCCCATCCTGGGCAAGCCCTTACAGCCCCAGTGTCTGTGTCCATTGGTTATGCTAATATGCATGCATACAAGTCCTTTGATTGCTTTCTAGCCCCACCTGCCACCTCCCCTGCCATTTGTCTCTGGGTCTGTTTTTGTTCAGCAAATTATGTTGATCATTATATCCCACATATGAATGAGAACATGTGATATTTATTTTTCTCCAACTGGCTTATTTTGCTTAGCATAATGCTCTCCAGTTCTATCTGTGCTGTTGCAAATGGTAAAAGTTCCTTCTCTTTTATAGTAGTGTAGTATTCCATAGTGTAGATGTACCACATTTTTTAATCAACTCATCTACTGATGGGCACTTAGGCTGTTTCCAGATCTTAGCTATGGTGAATTGTGCTGCTATGAACATATGGGTGATGGGGCAGATGGGAGTTCCATTTTTAGTTTTTTGAGGAAACTCCATACTGACTCTCCACAGTGGCTGCACCAGTCTGCATTCCCACCAGCAGTGCACGAGGGTTCCTTTTTCTCCACATCCTCTCCAGCAATTGTCTTTTGTTGATTTGTTACTGATAGCCATCCTGACAGGTGTGAGATGATACCTCATTGTTGTTTTGATTTGCATCTCTTGTATGATTAGTGATTTTGAGTATTTTTTCATATGTCTCTCGGCCTTCTGTATGTCCTCTTTCACAAAGTGTCTACTTAAGTCCTTTGCCCAGTTTTTGATTGGATTGTTTATCTTCCTTTTGTTAAATTGTATGAGTTCTCCGTAAATTTTGGAGAGTTAACCGTCATCTGAAAGAGCATTGGCAAATATGTTCTCCCATGCAGTGGGCTTTCTTGTTGTTTTGTTGATGGTTTCTTTTGCTGTGCAGAAGCTTTTGATTTTGATGTAGTCCCATTTGTTTATTTTCTCCATAGTCCATTGTCCTAGGAGCTGTGTCAATAAAGATATTGCTATGACGTATGTCTGCTATTTTGCTGCCTATAGAGTCTTGTAGGATATCTATGGTTATATTGTCTTACTTTTAGGTTCTTTAGCCATTTTGAGTTTGGTTTTGTGTATGGTGTTAGTTGGTGACCTAGTTTCATTTTTTTGCATGTATCTGACCAAATTTCCCAGCACCATTTATTGAAGAGACTGTCATGACTCCATTGTATGCTCTTGCCCCCTTTGTCAAATATTAATTGAGCATAATGGCTCTGGTCAATTTCTGGGTTCTTTGTTCTGTTCCATTGATCTATATGTCTGTTCTTGTGCCAGTACCAGGCAGTTTTGAGATCCATGGCTTGGTAATGTAGCTTGTTATCTGGTACTGTGATCCCTTCAACTTTGGTCTTCTTTCTCAGAATTGCTGCGGCTATTTGTTTTGTTATTTTATTCCAGATGAATTTTGGAGAGTTTGTTCTAGATCTTTGAAATATTCTGTTATTATTTTAATGGGGATTGCATTGAATCTGTAGATTGATTTGGGTAGTATGGACATTTTAATGATGTTGATTCTACCAATCCATGAACATGGTATATTCTTCCATTTGTTTATGTCTTCCTCTGTCTTTTTTCAATGTCTTATAGTTTTCCAAGTACAGGTCTTTCACCTCCTTAGTTAAGTTTATTCTTAGATCTCTTAATTTTTTTTAGTGCAATGGTAAGTGGAATTTTTTTTTATTTAGTTTCTCTTTCTTTGATTTCATTATTCTGTATAATAAAAGCTCAGCAACAGAAATGGTGGAATGACCGGAATGACCAGAGACCAGAATACCATAGTCCCTCACTGTGGCTGGCCCTGAACCCAGGGAGAGGTTAGGGCAGGGGTGGGCAAACTTTTTGACTCGAGGGCCACAATGGGTTCTTAAACTGGACTGGAGGGCCTGAACAAAAGCATGGATGGAGTGTTTGTGTGAACTAATATAAATTCAAAGTAAACGCCATTACATAAAAGGGTATGGTCTTTTTTTTCAATAGTTTTAGTCATTTCAAATTGGCCGGATCCAGCCCGCGGGCCCTAGTTTGCCCACGGCTGGGTTAGGGGCAATCGGGTAGGCAGTCTGAGTGGTTAGGGGCGATCAGGCAGGCAGATGAGCAGTTAGGAGACAGTGGTCCTGGATTGTGAGAGGTATGTTGGACTGCCAGTTTAGGCCTGAACTGACAGTCAGACATACCCCAAAAGGTTTCAGATTGTGAGAGGGTGCAGGCCAGGGGCTAATGGACCCCCTAACCCCATGCACAAATTTTGTGAACCGGGCCTCTAGTTGGTGTATAAAAAGGCCATAGATTTCTGGGTATTAATTTTGTATCCTGCTACATAGCTGAATTCATTTATTAGGTCTAGTAGTTTTTTGATGGAGTCTTTGGGGTTTTTTATGTATAATATCATGTCATCTGTGAATAAGGACAGTTTTACTCCTTCTTTTCCAATTTGGATGCCTTTTATTTCTTCTTCTTGTCTG